CTTACGGCTCCAAAATATACACAAAAATCCTTGTTCAAAGCACGCAGACATAACACAGGGACAGCTCCTGAGAAGGGCTGATGGACTCATATGTTCGGCAGAAGTTAAGAAGCTTCCTAACAAAAAGATATACATTCAACGGCCATTAACAAAACTTTACTCGCTCGAGATATGAGCGACAGCGTCCGTTGAGGCGCAAAAGGACAGGCAGTGGGCAAAATGAAGATACAGAAAAGTCTACTGCGTTGACTGCGCCTACCAAAATTGGGCGAATTCGACGGAGACCTTAACGGGCGGCAAAAACAAAAGCATGCGAGGCAATCCAGTGACAAAAAGACACAACGTTTCTGTGACAGATACGACAAATACAGAACAAGAACCACCGCGCGTAGGGAAGCCATTTAATATCAACACCGTATTTCTGGCCTTGATGTTAATGACTATGAAAACTGCAGAGTGCAGTGAAAAAGGAGCTATAACCTGCGCTCAAAGGATTGATACGATATACCGAAAGACCTCACGGTTCGAAGTTTGTTTCAACAATAATTGTAGGGCGTTCAATAAGAGTCTTAAAGTTCTTCAATATGCTCTTGCACCTTCTTCGAATCCAACAGAGTTGTCGATGACACCACGAACTGACAGAAAACATGTGTAGACCCTCCATATTGCGATCAAGTTGCGAATCTTTCTTCAAAAGACAACAAAAGAATTGATATGCAACCCGCACTGTTGACCTTCGGGAGCAACACTTTCCGTTGGAATTTCCTGTTACCTTATCATTAGCGGTGCTTTGTTTCTAGCCTGGCTAATTCTACGCAAGAAAGATTCACCTACTACCTTAGTGTATAATGCTTTCAACAGCATCAATGACACGGTAGAACAGACCACTCTCATTAGCGAATTTCATTTACAACCATCTTTCTCGTAGCGCTAGGATCAGCATGTTAAGTTTCGTATATGAGACATTCAGTGGACCTCATTTGTACCAAACCTAATGAATGCCACTAGGAATGACGACGAGAGCTCCTTCTCAGTAGCATACAGACAAGCCTTTGCGTGCGATTACGCCATCAAAATACGAAAGTGATACCTGAACTTAGGGCTTCTACGCATTAACCTGGGTATACATGTTGCACCACGCAATGAGTTGATTGCATATGTTTACGTCCATTCATACCGTATTACACAAAAGAATCCGTGCATTTTAATTTCATGGTGATATCCACGCGAATTTGAACTTCACCAAAAGTGCGCACAAGCAAAAAACGAAACACTCATTATTTCTCCGAACCGCGTCTTCGCCAAAGGTATGCACAGGCAAAAAACGAAGCGCGACTTGGTGATGTGTCCGAGCGTTCAAGTTTTTCCTCGTGCACTAATGCAGGTTACTGCAACTGCGATACTTCTCCTAGTTCTCACTGCCCGTACAACACTTTCGCACAGGTTCGCCGCAACATATAAATATGTATTACCCTTGTCGACGCATTGCATCACCGTTTTAGACGTAGATGGAAAATTGTTTGCAGAGTACAACAAAGGGGAACCACCATAGCAATCGTATCAAAAAAGGAGTATTGAGATTACGAACTTAAATGTCAGCTCACAATGTGTGAGATAAGCAACAGGAATTTGTCAGGATGCTATAATTGTAACCACGGCAGCTCAGTAGATTTTTCGTGTCAGTCGCAGACCGAGTCCTGGGCAACTGTGGTTTGCGTGCGCCCACAATATTTTCGCCATCAAGTGCACTACGGAAGCAATGACGACAAAGGCTAAGCTAACCTTTTAAAATGCGGTGCCAGATACTTATTGCCACATTACCTGTGGCGGCAAAAACGTCACAACAAAGTTTAATGGGGTACTTCACTATTTCACCCACATTGGAAAAGTGACATGTTCTTCACAACTGCGCAGCGGCACATACTCCAACTTGACTGGCTAAACGGCTTGAATTCACCCGACCCATCCCTTTTGTGGATGATTTTTCTCAAGCATTAAAAACTAACGCTTGTAGTTACCATCACTCTGGTTCTGATGACATTACTCACATATCTCTTCGGTCCAGCTATACCGTTAGCTCTCATAAAACTAGTGTTAGCCATCCTTCCTTAGCTGGTGGAATCGATGGCACGACTTACAGGTACGATACTGTCATCATTCTGGAGCATCGTGCGCTGGTTTGCACAAAAACAGCAGCATTAAAAAAAAACGCGTGCCGACAGATCATGAAGTCACAGCTCAGCTGCGGCCATATACTTTCATTAACTGTCATTTTCGTGCATTCATCACCGACGAAATCGACGAAGAAACACGTCTCATGGAATTTGCGCAGACTGCCAAGCTGGACGCTATCGGTACCCTTCAAATTATTAGCGATCGCCTTGAATCGCTGTATTCGCTGACTGCAGAAATTAAAATGATCTCGCTACTCTGATGGAGCGCACCGCTCCTAAATCATCTTGCATTTCCTGCTCTATACCGAAAACGTTGGCGTCCACCACACCGGGCAACGTTATCGCTATTCAGACCCGGTAAGCCGTGCGGTGCGAGTGGAGGGACTACGCCTTTGTAGCCGGTGCCTTCGCACCGATCACGGTCCCGCATTGTGCACAGTTCCTTGCAATATCTGCCGTGGGAGCCATAAAATTGTTCTTTGTCTGGAACCCCACTAAAGAAGCGCAAGAACTGATTTGATAGGCTGCAACCCCACGCCTTGAAGTACTCTGCTTTTGTTGCATCTCTACTTACGCATCGCTACGCTGGCCGTCGTCTACCCCCTACGCCGTCGCTTTGCCTCTTCAACCCCTTTTTCTTATTCGTACTACTAGATGCAACAAAAGCAGAGTACTTCAAGGTGTGGGCGACTACGTCTGGGTATTCTTCTGCACTTGAACCGTCGACCCAACTGATGGAAGCCGATATCTCAGTTCTCGATGAGCCAGCGAACCGAGAACTGAGATATCAGTTGACCACTACCTCGCTGTTTTCGTTGTCGTTCATCAACCGATCGTTCTGGTCATTACGTCGCCCGAAGCAAGTGTGCGCAAATGCAGGTGGCCCAACCGACGTCGTTCACTACATCGGTCGAAGCAAGTGATACGTAATTCCGGGCTTTTGTCAATGTATAAAGTATCACTGGGTCGCGACGGGCGTCTGCGCACTGTCGCATCCTCATCCATGTGTTTTATTTTGCATGGTCGAGTACGCGACTGAGGGACCGTCCATTCGGCAGGCTATTGCTTGGTATTGTCCGCTTTCAGATTGTGAGCTTGTTAATCACTGTGTTATAAAACTCCTTTCAACTCGATTGAACCACCATAGACGAAATTAACGCAAGGGTGCCGCACAGGAAAGTTGTTTGAAAGTTGACCATGTGATTACTTATGATTTCGATCATGATGGGGCTACAGGGTGGCTTGGAATTATGGGACGCCACATTTGTAAGCGGGACGCCACATTTGTAAGCGTAAGTCGGAATATATGAACAGGTAGACAATTCTACTACATTGACGATTAGAGTGGAGCTGCATGATCACTTAGGGCAGGAGACGCTCGAAGTTCGGTACTTTCGCTCTTACGTTGGCGACGACGTTCTTTAATTGAACCGATAGTGCGCCGCAGGTAGTCTACGTCGATATCGTCTTTCGCCTTCTGAAGTACCAACGCCAGAGCTTTCAACGAGCGGTAGGAGCGCCCTGTAGTCTTGCCAGTCAAAAGCACTCACGCAGTGAAGTCTATTGGATTGACTAATATTGTTTTGCATTCTGATGTCACCCCAGCTCGAATAATCATGCTTCCCGGAAATGGTCGACCATGCACAATACGTTTAGGAACTCTTAGTCAGCTTCCGGCAATAACCGTCTCTGGTTTTGACTGTTTGAAAAGGTCCTACTGTAAAAAATTTTCATCTTGCCAGGCCAAGTCGGAGATGGGCGCTCCCTGAGCTCTCGAAAAAGTTTCACGCATTCTATCAGCTGACTTTGTTTGAACTGCCCTGTCCTCAACAGAGCCAGTAAGTGTTCAGCTGGTGTTCGCATTTCACAATTTTATGGACGGTTTGACGGCTAATGTTGAGGTCAGAAGCAATCGGCTTCATGCTGACTCCATGGTTGTGGGAGAAATTCTTCCTATGATGACACGAACCCTCGGTCTGTTCACTGTTCTCGGTCGTCCTCTTTTTTGGCATCCCAGAGGCTTGTTTTCAAGCCCTGAGAACAGCGAAGACATTTTAAATGGTTGTGAAGGGGAGCGAAGACATTTTAAATGGTTGTGAAGGGGGCTGCTGTGTCGTCTCGCGATTTCACAACTCATGAATCATGCTCTGAGCGACCTCTCTATGATGGGTCTATCCGCTGAAACTCCATAGCGATGGTTCAAATGAAAGGTCAATCAAATGAATTATAGGAATTCTTGCGCAGCTCCTGCGCTTCCAAAAAGTCTCGAAAGATTTCAAAAATTGCCGTTGGCAAAGTGCCGACAAGCGCCAAAGGGAACGTCCTGAACCCTTCAGCCACCTTGTATAAGTCCCAACAACGAGTAACAAATAGGAACGGGATTGAGCCATGCGCTCAACCTTTTGTATGAAATTTATAAGTATTGATAGTCATAGGGAGCACTTCGCAAAGTTTGAAGCTTCACAAACAACAATACACACAAAACAACAGCTTTACAATAAAGTAGAGTTAGTGGCTCAAGAAGCTTTAGATGAGTTTTATAACACTGCTAATTACATTACGCAATTGAATATATAAAAGGCAGGTAGCAATGCGAGATGTTGCTAGTCCAACTACGCCGCAATGCTGCTCATTCAATCTGCGGATAACTCGTCCTTTTGGACGAGTGTCGTCTGCATGTGGCACTATGCTTGTCTAATCAGGACCATTTAAGCCATGTGAGGGGTTGTGTAGCCTTTGAAAGTAATGCAAACTTGGAAGAGATTCATGAGATTCTGCTGTTCACCTCGCAATCAAGAACAAAAAACCGTAATGGACATATGAGGATCACTTGGGCGAAATGGAAGAGTGGGAATGGGGATTTTCTGGATCTCCTGTGCATCCAACAGCTCCCCATTCTGATATGTACACGTTGTAGTAGCGATGATGATCATGAAATGTAAGATCGGCTATACTGATCTGATCACTGCACACTTTGCTCTCCTCCTCATCGCATTCAACGTAATCGGCAGTTGTCATATTGTTGTTGTACCATACCTGGAATGTACGAGTTAGTCAGCAGATCGACTTATTAGCTCAGCAGTTTGAGGCCCCTCTGTGGTACATGTGAGGGTTCAAAGATCGGACTTCGTTAATTCACAACTTTGCAGTGTAGACGAAGTAGCGTGGGAGCGGCTCACTATCTGAGCTGCAAGTCGATTACATGCCACGTCCGAGGGGTAATACTCAATCGTGTATCTTTGCTGAAGAGGCTCTCCTTCGCTGAGGATACCTAATTACGGAATTCTGTAACGAATAACTACCATTCGTAAATCGGAAAACGGAACACACTCGAAAGAAGTGGGCCCATGCATCATGTGCTTTGAAGATTATTCTGCTCTAAGGGTATTGGAGGTCACCATCTCCATGAAATAGAATCTGCACTTGCTGTTGGTTATGTCAGGAAAGCGGCGTATTCTTGGTAACACCAGTGAATAAAAAGGCTATGGTAATATCTCTAGAGTAAAATAAAAACAGTAACCACATTCTCAGGTCGCACGACCCTTCCTGGCGAGTCTCAGACGGTTATGCTCAATATACATCCCCAGTATGGCTTCAGCTTATGAAAGGATTGACTCTTTGTTATTCGAAAGAGCTGAAGGAGCCTAACCGGAGCTTTTTTAATCAGATCCCCGAAGGGAATTCCGAATAAAGCAAATGTCATGATCAGAAGTAAAAGCCTGACGGAGTAACGTACCTCTGATTTGTGATGCCTGTAATGGCGGAATCCGTTTAGCGGGTTATGTGGAATGTTGTCGTGACCATGAACGATACGAAATGAGTATGGAATCTGTAATTGCACAAGTAGACTTGTTGCAATAGGCAGTGATCATTTATTGAAAATGAATATCGATCGATGATCTAGTAGTCCCTTACTGCCTCAGAACAAGATCTCCGGACGGCAAAAAAATCCGGTCCACTACGTGGAAAAAGTAGTGGTCATTAATGCGAACGTTGTCTCATCTCGGACCCCGCCTCATTGTCCCATTGGCTCTCGTCTCTTTTTTACCACCATGCAGCTCATATTTCAATGATCTGGGTCTCGGAAAATGGTATTGCATACCTGAGCATCATGTGCTTTTGCAAAGACGTCATCGCCAGTTCTTGGCTGACCAAAAGTCACCAATTTGATCAGGTTCCCATCGTACAACTTTACTTTTTCAATGTATGACGCAGCCAGTGATGCCATAGCTCCGCCGAGGGAATGGCCAACAATCTGCAAGGAAATCATCGCATGAGTATTCTTGAAGGCACAGCTCACGATCA